AACCATATTACTGACTATAGATCCCTATTATTATTATGGTAACTTAAACTCTACAAAATTAAATCCCTTAACTAGAACCCAGTGGATTCTTTCAGAGTCTCCGGCTGACCTGCTGGTAGCTGCTCCTGCAAAGTTTCGCCGGGCTGCTTGAAACGTTAAACCCGAAACCCTAAACCCTAAACCCGAAACCCTAAACCCTAAACTCGAAACCCAAGACTTAGGATTCTGGTAATTAGGAGCTCACAAAAGCTCGCTGCTAGAGTGGTTCGACACGATTTCTCGTGCTTTCGATGGTCTTGCTTGCTCTTTTAACCTCCCCTCTTAACCGCTAAACCCCAAACCATAAACGCTCATCACCGTTATCAGCCGCGGCAGCACCCTTACCTTCATGGTGGTCTATTGTCAGTATGATCATCTTCTTCAACATCCTCCCAACCAGCGTCGCTGCGCTTTCAACTTTGTTCAGGGCCCTAGGCTCCGGTAGTCGTTGTTACGCTTCAGGGCTTAGGGCTTCAGGATTCGGGGTGTTGCGACGTTTGCTGCATGCTTGACAGCTTGAGCCTTTGGGGTTTTATCTTCGGCTCAGTTTTTCATGTCGCATCATCTAAAGATGCGATGTGAGAGATCCAGGTGTCCCTACCGCTCCCTTACGTACGCACTCAGAATGACAATATCTGCAGCTCTCTGCAGTCCCTATGCATGCTTGCAGCACACAGCCGGTCCAGTGCAAGTCGAAGTCCGGTGCAGACTGCATCGGCGGCGGCAGGAGTGGGTTGATAGCAACGTAGACCCTCAGAGCTTGCGCTTTGCGGTTGCGTGAGGCGTCGGGCTTCCTATGTCTTGTTGGGGGCTCGGGGTCTTGGGATGCTTGAAAGAGTTTAGGGTTTAGGGTTGAAACATCACGACAGCAAAAAATATTCGACAGTTGCTAGAAGACCCGAGGTTTCGAGGTCCGGGAAGCCTTGACTGCCTTGACCGATGCTGCCTCAATGTAGACTCAGTGCTCCTCCTAGAGCCCCCGCTGATTCAACCGGAATTTGCAGCAGATTCTTGTCCCTCCTGATACTCAACACCAAAACCCAAAACACCCTAAACCCCTAAACCCCCGAGACCCCTAAACCCCACTCCCCTAAACTCCTAAACCCTGAATCCCAAACCCCTAAACCCCCCGACCCGCACACCACAGAATGCCAAACCCTGAAGCTCCCAAGCATCCAAAGGCCAGGGGCCCTGAGAAACCCGGCTTTTGGACGGTTTTGGTTTAGGGTGCGCGTAGGGTTTAGGGTTTAGGGATTAGGGGTTTAGGGTTTAGGGGTTTAGGGGTTTAGGGTTTAGGGGGTTAGGGTTTAGGGTTTAGGGCTTAGGGTGTACTCAGCCGTGGGCAGCTTTGGAGCATTGCCGCCGGAGCCTGCAACCAAGAGCACTAAACTCGAAACAGTAAACCCTAAACAGCACACCCTAAGCCCTAAATAGTAAACCCTAAACCCAAAACCCGAAGCCCTAAACCCAAAACCCCAAAACCCTAAACCCTAAAACCCTAAACCCTAAGCCCTCAACTCTATTCAGCAACCAAGCCCGACTCTCGGTCGGGAAATGGGTTCTCCAGTAGTTGCGATAAGGGTGGCCATACCGGAGCTCTATTTTTTTAGGGTTTAGGGTTTAGGGCCGCTTAGGGTTTAAGGTATTTTAGGGTTTCAGGGTTTAGGGTTTGGGGTTTAGGGTTTAGGCTCCGGTTCTACAGGGATTGCGAGATGGGCTACGATGAGGGTTGCTATAAGGAGCCCTTAACGTTTTGGGGTTTAGGGCTTCAGGGGTTTAGGGGTTTGGGTTCAAGAAGGACTGCGGGTCACGATACGGGTGACCAGAAGGGACTCATAGGGTTCCCAGGAGGGTCCAGGATATAGGGTTTAGGGTTAGCTTAGGGTTTAGGGTTTAGCGTTTAAGGCTTAGGGCTTTGGGTTTAGGGTTAGCTTTGGGTTTAGTTCGGGGTTTTGGACAAGGTTTGGAGTAATGGGTTCTTGGGACACTGAGAAAGGACTGCCAAATCGAACTCCCATGTCCAGCTATCTTGTTAGAATCATCGAATGTGTCAGGGAGGTCCTACCGCGCAAAGATCCATTCTAACCATTGAGGTGCCCATAATATTAAACATCCCATGCCCTAAACCCCTGAAACCCTAAACCTTAAACCCTGAACCCGAGAGTATGCCTAGCCGTCCAAGCAGCTTCTCCAGGAAGATGCAATTCCCGGCCTTTGCTGCGGCACAAGAATTACGAGCTACGGTTTAGGGTTTGAGGGTTTGCGGGGGGATATGGTTCTAGGGAGTTTGGGGTTTCGGGGCCTAGGGTTCTTAGGGTTATCTGCATGCATTGGGCATCCGGCGCTACACTGTACATGATTTTGATTTGCAAAAGCACCCGACAGGAGCTCTGGCAAGGCACAATTCTGAGAAAGCTGCTCTTCGGAGCAGAAACCGGGGAGACTTTCAAGACAGCGCACATTTTGGAACTCTCCATATCAGCGCACTCTAGCCAATTGGCCAAGGACAAATTTGGCAGGTGCTGTGAGGACATGGGAGGATACAGCCTCAAACCCAAAACCGCACTACCCGACAAGCTCTTAGACCCTAAACCCTAAACCCTAGACCCTAAACCCTAAACCCTAGACCCTGAACCCTAAACCCTAGACCCTGAACCCTAAACCCTAAACCGTAAACCCCAAATCTCTTAGACCCTTAGCTGTCTTAGCTAGGACCTCCCAGGCTTCCTGTCTTTGGCTAAGGCCGACTTCTGCAGGACAGGGAACAGCAAGCTCCGTGCTCTACTAACTACTCAGTTGAGTAGGGTTTCGGTGTATATTATCCTTATTCATCCTCTCGCCTACTTGGAGGTTCATGGGTAGTTATAAATGGGGTTGTAAGTAGGGTAACTATGGTTATAACCCATATTAGGGGACTTATAACCCCACTTATAACTGCGCATGAACCTCTCGCCTAAAAGTAGACAGGACTGGGAGGATCCGGGATGCAGGTTGAAAATCGATTCTAAGCCTCTTCTGTGCCGAGCTGTTTATCGCCCAGGCTCAGAAGTTGCATTCCACCAGTCCTGTCTTTGATGGGTTGGTGTCCCTGGAGTACAGAATCTGAAACACTCGTCCGTGATATGTCTGCATAGAAGGCAGATGGTGCCGGCGGGAATACCTGGCCATAGCCTCGAATACATGGGATTTTGCTGCAGCGTGAGAGGCCGTATAACCCTCTCTGCAGAGAAGTTCCCGCACTTTATCATCCGAGGGCGGAAGCGCCAATGGCCCGAGCTGAGATGCGACAGAAATGCCTCGCGGAGTATGTTGTCAACGTGTGAACCTGCGGTCGTGAGGACAGGTAGGAGACCCTGCTTCCGCAAGGCGTATCTATTGTCAGGAGCATTGACGAAGACCATCCTTGCTTCTGCCAAATCGGAATTCAAGCTGTCATCCACGTAACCGAGCCTTCTGAGCACCTTTGGCACCAAGTTCTCCGAGTCTGGTAGCACGAAGGGTCCGCCTCCTTTGAAGACTCGCCTTGCCTCAGTACTCCCGTAGATTTTCAGCTGTGTGTTACTAGGCTTCCCGGGAGCTGGCTTGGGGAGCAGGAAGGCCGCTTCACCCGTGTCGCCGCGCTCTACCCATCTGCGTCCACTATAGCTCTTTGCAACAGCACAAACCGCCTTGACCGCACAGACGGGAGGGTAGACGATGAGAGAGCCCAGCCCATTCGCAAGCCAGAACTTTGCAGTCGCATGTGAGAGGTGCTCCCTGTTGTTTTTGCAAACATACCCCAGGGCTCTCAAAAACTCCTCGCAGAACTCAACATCTCTGGAGTTGTCTAAGGGGGCTCGCAATGCCCCGGTGAGCCGCACGTGGCCACTTCCATCCTGATGCAGGAGAGCTCTGACTTTTGGACGTCGAACCAACTCCAGCTTCAGCTCCAGAAGTGGAACACCGATGCTCCTGAACTGCCTGATGACGGCACGGCAACTGGAAGGAATGAGTACCAAGACAGTCTTCCCGTCTTCCATCATTTGCACCAGCACATCGGCAAAGCCAAAATCAGAAGTAAAGAGCGCTATGCAGCCGGTGCTGGTTGAGCGCTGTAGTTGCAGTCTCTCCTGAACTGCAGAATCAGTCGCCTCGCCCAGAGTCCGTCGAGGTACTGGGTGAAAGTGGACATGGGGTCGCTGCAGCAACTTCTGCCACTTCTTGTTTTTGTTCCGTCCTGGTTGTGTAAAGACGTGCGCCTGCACTTTGCTACCGTTCTTGCTCAGCACATTGATCGCAGCTTCAATCGACTCGATGCTGTGGACGTCTGCATCTACAAGCAGTTGTGCACTGTCTTGTTCGGAGGACTGCAATGATAGTCTCCCTCTAGTCCGGTCGTGTATTGTCCTCTTTTCCTTGGCTCAGTCATCCCTTCTGCAGATCACGAACAGGCAACACCGTGTGGCACGTGTGCTGTTCTTGTGCTGTTGTCGTGCATGACATGGAACGGAAGAGCCCGAGACCATCTTCCTTCAACGAACAACTTCTTATCGGAGCCTGCAAACTCATTCCAAAGGTTAGCCAAGAGTCTCTACCGCAGATCAAGGAACTGGAAATGATAAGCTGCAGCCAGGCTTGGGGAGATCCTCGATCTCGCTGCGGGCTGAGGATCTGCATATCACGCCCTCGGCTTCGGCCACAGAAAGCTCCAGGGGCCAAGGAGAGGTGAGACGAATGGCCATGGCAAAGAAGCGTCATGGCATGCAGCTCACGGGGTTCGGGGGACTTGGAGGTTTTTGGGCTTTGGAACACAACGTGCATACTAAGCTACTATCTGTCATGAATGATATGTGCTAAATGCCTCAGCCCTGGGTTGTCAGACACGACCCTCACTACCTGCTGTCATACTGGAGCACTGGCGATGGCCTCCAAACCTTAGGTCCTAGGTCCAAGGGCTTGAGAAGCAAGCTCATGCCACCAAAGCCCCAGCCCAGGCGCGCGCAAGACCACAAGGAGCTACAATAAAGGTAATACTAATAATAAGAAGAGGAACAATAACAGTAGTAGTACAAGTCGTCGTCGTCGTGGTCGTCGTCGTCGTCGTGGTCGTCGTGGTGGTCGTGGTCGTCGTCGT